ATAGCCACATAGTGAGGTGGTGTGAAGTTGGTGGGAACAGCATCATGATCTAGACTCCTGTCAGAGTCGTAGGTGTGAGAATGGCAGCCATAAATTTACCAAATAAATCTATGGCTGCCCCTTTGGGGGGGGGGGTTACATTGAACTTGTAAATATGTACGCAGAGGACTGAACTTGGATCACAGTTGTACATCAATTATTTTGCAGATTTTGACATCCCCCTTTCTATGCTCATGGTTCCGACTCATGTTATGCTTATTGGAGCATAACAGGCAACTGTTACCTGGAAAAAGCAGACACATGGAGTGCAAAACATTCCAATTAAGTGCAATGTTGCGGGGAAAATATTTTGCTAGGCAACATGAATGGATGGGGGGGACACAATTAGAGAGTACAATTGGAAATCCAAAGATGAATGAGAATGATGATTATTTGATGAATATCTATTTTTGAAAATGGTATCGTTTTTATCAAGCATATGTTTGCTTATGCATACATACGGTAAAGGAATGAAATTATTTGGATTGAAACTGAAGCAAGAATGCTGGAAAGAGTATTTTGGAGATTTGTTCCAGAATAATAGCAGTGTGTCAAGGAGTTGAAATGTAACAAATGTTATCAGTGTTAGCATCCAAGAAAAATATGCCTAACAGCTAACCTGAATCTGTTGTTTATCATTTCCCTGGTTTCATTTATGCCTAAAAGAGCAACAGAAAGTAAGCCCAACGACTTCCCCTAATGGCAAACTTTTGGAGTTATCTGACAACTGTTATTGATACCTTCTATCAATACTTTCTTCTGCAGGCTAACCATCCTTCCTATAATTGTTTACAATGATAGACCTTGGCTTTCTTTATATCATCTTAGTAGTCTTCCTGATTTGGTTTTATTTGTTCAATAATGATCAGGTGAACATTTATTGTAACAATTTTGTTATTTATAAAACACTAAAGCACATGTTTATAATTGTAAAAGATAAATTTTGCATACTTTCATCAAATCTGTTCCATGATACAGAATTTTAAGCTATTGCTTCTAGAAAAGATATTAAATGCATTAAATTCAGTTAAAATGAATTCATATCTTGATGCCCTCTGTGTATATGTACTATTTTTTGTTTTTCTGAAATTTAGGGAAAGGGATTTTTTCAGGAGATTAATATTCAATAGCTTTGGAGTCCGAGTGCAGAAAAAGAACAATAACTGTGTGGAATCCAATTCAGTTCACTCACTGATGGATCTGCTCTTCTCAGAAACTTATAGCATCTACCTGTACCTTGTGATTTGTCTCAGTATTATTGTAACTGTCAAAATCAATTGTGTGAACTAGATACGGATCTGTATCAGTTTCTGCTCTTGAATGGTGCAATATGTTTTTGATGGGATTGTGGAGTTTGTACTGTAGAACAAAAAGTTGGACTTTGCAAGCTATAACCATTGAAACTGAGATTGTATACCATCTTGAACCATACTAAAAAGTTAATGTAAACATTCTTTTTAAGAAAAGAAAGTAATTCCAAAAAATTGTTATAAATTTATCATAATACTAACAATTAGTATTAAGCTTCTATAGCTGAGACACAGTGTTGCCCGTTCCTCTTCTGGGTTTCAGACACGCAGACACGAACGATGATCAGGTGTTTTTGGCATGTGCGGCAGTACTGGAAACAGGAAGAGCTGGTCTTCTGGTTTCTGTTGTGCGCATGTGCAGCAGCCAGCTGATCGTCATGCACACATGTACACCAGTAACCGGAAAGCAAGCTGGCTGGTGTGCATGCGCGCACCAGAAACTGGAAATTCATTTCCCAGCATGCACATGCCCACTTGGCAACATGTCTTCTGGAGTGAGTCCCCAACGAGCGCACGCAAAGTGCATGCATGCATGCTTGGTGCCGAAAAGGTTCACCGTCACTATTCTATAGCAATGCAATGCTAACCTTATCTGGGTCTGAAAACCCTTATCAGCTACACACTGATAAACTAACTATAAGACGTTAGCTTTACTTTTCTGGAAAGGGAAGTACTGTTAAGAATAATATTTACTGAATTAGTCAAGACAGAACATTACTTGCAACAAGGAAGGGGAATGCAGGGGTGCAGGATATCTGAGGAGCCATCTCACCCCAATAGAACTAGGCCAGTGGAAAAGGCTAGCTATGGACTCCGTCTGCTAAGAAATTTCAGCGGGTAGAGTCAAGGAGAAGAACCTTCTCTGCTGTGACCCCAGCCCTGGGGAACACTCTGCCACCATAGATGAGAACTGCTCTCACCCTTTTGGTCTCAAAGGATAGTAGCGGTGGCGCAGTGGTTAAATGCAGCACTGCAGGCTACTGCTAGATCAGCAGGTCAGCGGTTCAAATCTCACCGGCTCAGGGTTGACTCAGCCTTCCATCCTTCCAAGGTGGGTAAAATGAGGACCCAGATTGTTGGGGGCAATATGCTGACTCTCTGTAAACCGCTTAGAGAGGCCTGAAAGGCCTATGAAGCGGTATATAAGTCTACTGCTATTGCTATTGCTATTATAGTACAATTTAGTTCTTCCGGTTGGTTTGGTGTCCTGAGGAGTGGGGGGACACTCACTGCTGGATGAGGTTGACAGGATAACACCTCCTTTCCATGCCATCTGTATCTTGGGCCTGGTTTGTTTTTTGGTTTAGTTTTGAATTTTGAATTTGCATAGTTTTAATATCTTTTTTTTTTCTGTTTATCTTTTTATGATCTGTAGAGATTCCCCTAATTGGGAAGATAAATGGCACATAAATTTAAATAAATGAATAATAAATGGAAGGTCATTAAGAAAGGACAGGTAAAGTTTTTGTTTTGGTTTATTGCCTTGTAGCCTGTACTCCTCTGTGATTTTTGACTTAGACTAGTTGGTCTCTGTGTGGTTCCCGTAGCTTCATATTTTGAAGGTAGATTTCTAAGGTAAAAGTGACAACAGTCTTTAGTCGTCCTGGTTCCAGCAGAGTGGGCCTGTTACAGCTTCTGTTGTCTAGGGAGCTGTGGTGCCTGCATTGTGGAACCTTCTCCCGACCCTCCTTCACCAATAGGAGTCTTTATGATACCCATTTTTGAAGATATGATTCTATACCCTTTTAAAACAAAGTGCAGGTTGTCCTTAGCTTACAACCACAATTGCAACCAGCATATTAGTCGCTAAGTGATACAGCTTAAACAAGTCCTCACGTGACTGGATCCAGTTTTACAACCATTTTTACCACAGTCATTAAACTAATTACTGTTGTTCTGAAGCTATGTGGTCATTAAATGTGTCAAACAATCATTAAGTGAATTGGCTTCCCCAATTGATTTTTCTTGTCAGATGCCAGCTGGGAGGTCACAGATTGCAATCCCATGATCACAAGATGCTGCCACTGTTGTAAATGATAGCTGGTTGCAATTTGTAATTTTGAGGACGAATTGTAAATCACTTTTTCAAGGCTATCATAGTTTTGATCAACAGTCAGGGACTACCTATATAGAGAATGTGAAAATAATATCTAACCAGTTCATCCCTTCCTACCAGCACTTGTAGTAAATATTTTACAAACTTAGGACACTTCCAGAAACAATCAGCTCACTCGACTGTTACTTTTATAGTACCACCTACTGTAGGGTAAGTCATGGATTTTACAATTGAGTCCTAGGAGTCTTGTAAATCCTGATGCTATTTAGAAATTTGCATGTCAGTTATGAATTCAGAATAATGGTTCCTTGAAATTTGGCAACCACTATATCTCACAGTACTTTTATGAACAGACTCTATGAAAGAGATTCCACAGTAATTTGAAAGAGCTTCTTCAGCAAATTCTCTTGGAAAGTTTTAAAAAGTTTAAAGCAGCTGCTCCAACAAGCTGACTTGTTCCATACAACACTCACATATTCTACTTGTAAAACTCAGGAGACACTTTGCTTAATTTAGTGGTAGCTGCATCTTTTTTAAACCCAGTAGGTAAGATGACCTTGCTTGGAACTAGTAATTAAAATCTCATTATGGCTAGTTAATATTAAAATGGCTTTAACATAAAGCTGGTTTGTGGAGTCATTGATTCCAGGGTTACCTTTCAGAGTTGCCTTTCTTGCAATTCCAGCATGCCTTAATCTGTAACAATAGACTCCAGAGGGAAAGAGACATCATGGGCCCGCTGTTCATTTATGTTGGGATGTTTATGGCCACTGTTTTAAAAAAAAATGATTGAGAGAAGCTGGGACAAATGTTTGATCTGTATGTCTTTCTGAATTTGGAGATGTAGTGTAGCACTTAACATTTTTAATGGCTTATCTGAAAGATTTACAAAATAAAATTAACAAAACTATGAAAACATATTCAAAGCATGGTTATATGTTTCAGACTATTGAGCAATTATAATGTGATTTTCAACCAGCTGGATGGGGAATTCTGGGAGTTGAGGTCCACAAGTCTTAAAGGTTGGACACCTCTGTTCTAAATGGTTCTTCGAATTTGATTTTATTTAATTCAAATGAGTGTGTGAAGACAAAAGTTGTTGGCTTGAAGTCTGTATAAGCAAACAAGAAAATTCCAGGGAGTGGTTCATAATATCTCTAGCAATACCAAATGTTCTCAGTGGGAAAAAAATTTCTTTGATTAATAAACAAGTTTGGGTGATATTTTGTTCACTTTTTGTTCCCTGTTCTTAAATACAGATAAAACATTACAGAATGTGGAGACAGAATATCTTAGATTGAAAGCCACAACATTTACCTACTATTTTGAAAGACAAAAGCTATTTTAATTCAAGCATGTCTTAAATTCAAGGCAAAACAGATGTTTGAATTGCTGAATTGTTCTGGTTTTTGTTTAGTCAAAAAAAATCAGACATAGGTTATAATATTCAAAATAACAAGATTTATACCTACAGTGTCTATTTCATATAGTACTGTAACCATTTATATTTTATGTAGAAATTAGTAATATCTTTTAATCTATTTTTCATCTTTCAATAATTGTTTTGTTTTTCTTCTTTTTTATTCAACGTGCAGGAGCCCTTACCAAAGTGAAGGAAAGTAAGCGGCACGTAGAAGAAGGAAAAATGGAAATCCAGAAGGCTGATGGCATTCAGGATCGTTGTAACATTATTTCATTTGCCACTTTGGCAGAGATTCACCATTTCCATAGAATTCGAGTCAGGGACTTCAAATCACAAATGCAGCATTTCTTACAACAGCAAATCATTTTTTTCCAAAAAGTGACCCAAAAGTTAGAAGAAGCTCTTCACAAATATGACAACGTTTAATGTTGCTTAATTAAATAAACTTTACATGGTGGCTATTTCTTGGATTGCAGATGGAATCAACCACAGAGGCAAATGCTGCTCTAATGACCTTTAACACCTCTCAGGGTGTTTTGCAAAACTCTTTTTTTTGTAATTGTTCTGAATTCCAGAACCTAATAATTGCATAAGGAGAAAATAATTATGCATACATAGCAGAGACTATACTATACATTGTAACTAAATTATACCCAAAATGCCTACACTACCATCATAATGTCTTTTGAAATAATGATTATACTATTTGCCTTATTGCTTTTTTGAAATATGGTATTTTAGTGCATATGCTATAGACCTCAACATGTTGGGGTTTTTAAGGAAGTGGGCTAATGCCCACTTCATATGCCTTTTAAAAATTCTCCTTGGTTTGAATTTCTTAAATTCAGCCAATTCTCTGTTTACAACTTCCTATTAGAGCAGCTATGCGATTTTGTGCCTTTAGCATTTTTCTTTTTTTTTTCTAGTAAATGACATTTTTATGATTGAATGAAGTTGGCACCTCTGACAGGGCTTGATTTCAAACCTCATAATGACTCAAAAATAACTAGTTATATAACTTGCACACTAGATATTATGGTAAATGTTGGTAAAGCAACAACAAAATTTAAAATCATTTTAGATTCCGTGTTGATTAAAAATACTATTTATTATTTTTACCAGAATATTAAGTACACAAGCAACAATGCAGCATTGCTGTATTTACTTTCTTAATATGTCAGCATAAAATCTTTCTGTGTAATACATCTTTGGATAGAAACTTGGACCATTTATCTAATAAAAGGATACTGAATTATATCAGTGGGATATGACTAAAGGTTCAAAGAGTAATGCTTGCATGCATGTGTCTGTTGTTTGGAAGATTTTTCTGGCAGTTGATTTGTTTGTTTCTAAACATGGGCCCACATTGTCACTTGAAACTTGCTAATGCCAGGAAGCATTACTGTTCAGTGAAATTATTTGTTGGTTAGAAAAAAATACATGTATATTAACACATTTTGTGCTCATGATTCCTATTCTTTAGAGCAGTTAAAGAACCCACTGTGTGAAAATGTTAATTGAGGCCTTAACACAAAGAGATGCTGGGAAAAGAATTTTACTCAACTTACATACCCTCTATCACAGGGGTGTCAAACTTGATTTCATCGCATCAGGGTTGTGTTTGAATTTGGTGGGCCACGGTGGGTGTGGCTAACTCGACATCACTCATGTCAGGTGCGCCTGTGGTGGCCCAAGCAGTCAGCCAGCAAAAACGGGCTCCTGAGCACTAGTAACAGCCTCTTGCACCCTCTGCCAGTGAAAACTGAGCTCGGGAGGGCCACAGGCAGCCCTCTCGAACTCCGTTTTCATTGGCAGAGGCACCAAGGGCCAGATCTAAGTATCCCGTGGGCCGGATCCAGCCCCCAGGACTTGAGTTTGTCATTCCTGCTGGATGACTTTCTTTTGCTGTTGTCTTATTTTAGTGGTGGCTGGGAGAAGTCTTTAGAATCAACCTATTTCTGTATTGCTAGAATGCTTTTTGAATATGTTCTGGAACCTGATTCATTCTCCAGATTTTAGTAAATCAATCTAATTGTAGCCCTACAAGTTTGTTTATATTGGGCTGTTAATCTACTGCTAGACAAAAAACTTTTAAAAAGAACTTACTGAATAGTACATCCAATTCAACTCGGTTGAGGAATGACATCTAGATATTTCTCTACTGCATAGATATGGCATATTTAAATTGGTTCCAAATTTAGAAAATGCTATTCTTTTGGCTTGATACTGTACAGAAGTACATCTGCATATAGTTGGAGAAAAAGTTCACACCATACATTGAAGTTGTTCCAGTCTGCTTGAAGTTTCAGTAGCAACTTTACAGAACACAGGCATGGAGGATTGGTGGCCTGGGCCCAAATATATATTTTTGTATTTTATTTTTTTTAAAAAATTGAATCTTCTTTTATTTTAAAAACTTTTTAAGGGAAGTAAACACTTATGTTTTTATTCCAGCATTTTAAAATTAATTGGTGAAATTCTAGAAAAAAATACAAAGCTAATTATGTACAATCAAGGTAACTTTCTACATGTTGACCAAAACATGTAATTTTATGCTGATCATAAAAAATGTGAAGACTTTCTCAAGTTAAGATTGACTCCTGTTAATTGAATCTATGAAGTTTGTTAACAGAATGCCATTGTATGAATTTTAGGTTTGTTTGTTTACATCTACACCTGGCCAACTGCTCTGAAATTTTCAGGTGATCTTCACTTCCAGAGAAAGAAATAGCTAACTGAAAATGGCTCTGTGGAAAAGCAGACCTAATGACCACAGTGGAATGAAGAGCCAGTGAATAGACTGGCTATTTGTAATTCCTCTGTGAACAAGGAAGGGACTTGAGATCAGTCACAAGTGCTCCAAACAGCTGCTCCCTGCAAGGAGATCACAACAGAGTAGTCTCCAGCAGGTTTTAGAGTTCTGGGAAATGAGGCAAGTCCCTTTGCTCAAACTGCAGTTGGTACCTTTGAAAGGAAACTGTTGTTTGTGACATTCCATTTTTAATCACATTCAGAAATACTTGATTAACTACGTTTCAGGTATGAGTATTGAGGTACTTTCTCAAACATTTCTGCTGCTCATCAGCTTCCATTGTCTTTATTTCTGAAATGTGTTTTTTAAAAATTGAATTTTAAAAAGTGCTATCTGACAGCTGAAGAATCAGTCTTCAAGGAGGGGCAGATGAATAAGGAGAAAAGACTCTGTCTTGTTTTTAATTTCCCTCAACAAAATAACATGAATATGGAATGTATGAAGTAGGAATCATATTAGGACAAATGAACAAGTGCTGCAGTTTTACTTGTTCAAGAAAATGGTGCCAGCATTCTAGATGTACGGTATATACGCATTCTATATTGCGCTTGTCTAAATACAAAAGCTTACGTAATAGCTTTTGTTTGAGAAATTATAGCAATTTTTATTCTTCCTGATTCTTAGCCTTCCTGATGCTAATCTTTAAGGAAGTGAAGCATTTTGGTTAGAGACAGTGAAACTCATCAGTAATTCCTACAATCTCATTGAAATGCTTGTCATGTGAATATTTTCCATTGATAGATACAGATTCAGATTTCTATGCCTGTAATACATAAATATGCAAAGCACATTTAAAACCTGGTTGAAGCTCCACCCCCTTTTGTATGAGCATTGAAAACATACAAAACTGGGTTGGTCCATTGATTGTGCAGTTATGGTCATCACCTTGACTGTTTACCACTGCATCAAAACAATACCCTCAGCAACCACTATTACTGATGTTTTTAAATATAGAAAGATATTGCATATCTTTCTGCATCAATATGAAAAGATACCTGTGTTACAATTTTGAAAAGCTGAACTATATTTACAGATTTATGGCAAGAAAGGCATTATTCTATTCTTTTACTAACACAAATCCACTAATTATATATATATAACTACGTTCATGCACAACTTTAACCTATTATTAGAATGGGATTAGTCGTGTGAATTAGGCGATTGAATTATTCTACAAATCATCATCATCAGGTTCTGTTCAGAGCATATTGGGCAGCAAGTGGTTTTCAGCGGTTTTAATCATTTGCAGCAGCATCCCAGGGGGCATTAATGGTTTTAAGATCTTCCTTTAATATCTGGCACCAAGTTTTCCAAGGCCGGCCTTGTCTTCTCTTTCTTCCAGGAGGTATCCAACATAGTGTAATTTTTGGATGCCAGTCCTTAGGCATCCATAACATATGGTCAACAAGCTGCATGTGACGTAGTACCTCTTCATTAGTGATGTCACGTTATGAAACGCGGAAGATTCTTCTCAAGCAGCATTGTTGGAAAAATGTTTAATCATCTTGGTTGTACACTTCCACATTTCACAAGCATATATTGTAGCTGGTATAACAACACTCTTGAAGAGTTTTATCTTTGTAGCTTATGGATGCCGTAGACCAAATTGGACGCATGCATTGAAATATGACCACCATTATATTTGATGGTTAATGTGCTTCTCTGTACCTCCATCAATAAATACAATGCTACCAAGATAAATACATTTATGTTCTACCAATGATGGTTTAAAAATCCTGGCTTGATATTATCTGAGAACTACATTCAGATGAAAGAAAGGCATTACCTGATCTGAAGATCTGAAATGACAGTGAAACAACCATGAAGAACAGGTTAGAAGGGAATATAACACATGAGTTAAAAACAAAAAACAAAACCCCCCTTGAATTTTGTGATAATAGTTGAGTAACTATTGCTCAAGTATTTCAAATGATTCCTTAAATTACACATCTGTATAACTTAAGAAATAATTTAAAATATTTCCACACAATAGTTTGGAGGTACTGATCTGATTCTTTTGCTGTGAATATATTAAATAAGCTTTGTCATTGGATATTTTTTTTGTAATGTGGATGTATATATGCATGTTAAAATTAATAAGGAGGCATGTGGGAATACATATGAAATCTATTCATTTTGGAATAGGAAGGTATATAGCTGCATTTTTCAGTTGCTGCTATTTTCAGAGGAATTCTTTCAAATACTAGTAACCACAAGGTAATTCTTGTCCATAACTTCTTGTTTCTTTTCATGGGAAATGAACAACTTTCCATACAGAGTTCCTTCTCCCCCTAAACACTCAGTGTTGTAGTTGGTTTATTTTTAACTTATAATGATGGGTGAATTGACTCATTATGATGTAACATTATATGCCAATTAGTTTTGTTCAGTGAACTGTTCTTTTAAAAAATGTTCATGTGGGAAAAAAGCATGATAATAATTCAATGTTGAATTATTTCTTTTTAATTCCTGATTTGTTTCTAAAATACCTACATGGCCATCAGTGTTAGCCTTGACTTTCCACAGTTGCAGTTTGGGGACAAGCACACCCAAAATGTAACAATATTGTGCACTTAAGCTTCTTGAACAATTTTATAGAAGCACATTAACTGGGTTGAATAGTAGCTTTGAAGAGTTTGGTTATCAATCTGTTAAAATGTTCATATTCTTATCTGTTATTTTGGATATATATTTCTTGTAAGAAACCTTTAGCTTGTAAATATTCTCAGGTTTCGTAAACTAACTTTAGTTCTCAAAAATGAAGTGGTAATCAAGAATCCGTGTTTCCAAAATATAAGGAGATTTTCTTATATTTTGCCCAGCCTCTCATTTGAAACCACAATGCTTTCTGCCAAGGAGACTTTAAAACATGAATGTGCTAGGTTTCTACAAATTAATACAAATATTATAATAAACTAGAAATTGGTCCATTGAACTAGGCTGTGGTTTTTATCATGGTTTGATGAACAAGCCATAATGATTTGGTCCATGTATAACAGGTCAAACTCACATCATCACGGTAGCGTCCCGTGACATATCAGGACTTCCCCCCCCCCCTTCGCTAAACCAGGCTTGGGCATAGCCAGCACATGATGCATTTGGCCCACAGGCTCAGAGTTTGACAGCCCTGATCTATAACCATAACACCAAACCCTAAAATGTGTCAAAAAACTTTTCGCTAAACCAAAGTGAATCAACAGGAATTACTATGATACATTGATTAGCCCAAACTGCTACTGTAGTTTTCTTTGAGGCTGTAGATTATTTGGGAGACAATTCAATATGACAAAACATTGTTGGCTTTTGTAGCTATAGTTGCTACAAGAACAATTTATACCTGATTTGGCCTTCAGAGAATACAATGAAATGATCACACAAATGATGATGACGATGATGATGATGATGATAAGAAGAGGAGGAAGAAGTAGTAGTAGTAGTAGTAGTAGTAGTAGTAGTAGTAGTAGTAGTAGTAGTAGTAGTAGTAG